GCAATTGAGCCCCAAATTTCTGTTGCTAAGTGAGAAATTTGTTAAGTGAGTTTTGCCCTATTTTATGACTTTAATTGCCACATTTATTAAGCGAATCACTGCAGTTGTTAAATCAGTAAAATGGTTGTTAAATGAATAGTTTCCCCATTGACTTCGCTTGCCAGAAGGTTGCAAAAGATGATCACGTGACTCCAGGACACTGCAACCATCATTAATGTGAGTCAATTGTCAAGCATCCAAATGTAAATTACGTGACCATGAGGATGGTAAGCGTGAAAAATGGTCATAAGTCATTTTTTAAAATGCTGTGATGACTTCAAATGATCACTAAGTAAACTGTTGTAAGTTGAGGACTACCTGTACAGCAAGCCACTACAGTCAATCATATCAACACTAGAGAGTTCAAAGTTCTTTGTTGTAAATAACTGTGATAGAGTTATCCATTTGCATGTTGTGCTTAAAAACCCCATTGTTTACTACACGAGAAATATGCAGGATCATATTTCTGAGGAGCTTATAAACTAGTCCTTTACTAGTTTTTTGCTTCTATGGTACATGGCAGGTAATGAGATATATTTTTTCCAAATGGCATTCAATTTTGATAGGATAGGATAGGATACTTTATTGGCCAAGTGTTATTATTAAACATACAAGGAATTTGTTTCCTTTTTTTTACAATGCATATTAAATATCAAACTACAATATAGCCTTAAAACATGAGAATTATGAAGCTTACTAAGGACTTTTGGATGGGCTGGTTGAAAGTCTTAAAGCTATTGTGTGGCATGGAATGTGATGTTTTTGAATGCTATATAAAATAACTTTCTGTATTACTTGGCGCAAACTTGTAAAAATGGGAAGGGCACTTTGATGTAGTTAATACTTCCTTTTAATGGTATGCAGCATTCACAATTTTGTGGTATCACACCCTCTCTATTAACATACCTACTCTCAGAATGAGTGTGTTTGATGTTATAATCCGAAGGAATATGGCAATTTCTCAGATGCAAAACAAATACTCATGGCAGGTATTATTCCCTCAGAAATAATGTTATTGCTAACATTTATGTCTGAATTTTAACTTTGCCCTAGAGAATGCTGCAGAAAAAGAAAGAAAGAAAGAAAGGAAGAAAGAAAGAAAGAAAGAAAGAGCCCTATTCTAGTTACTATATACTACACTACCCAGAGATACGTACAGAATATGAACCAATCTACGTCTAATATGATGAATGCATGGGAAATGGGTAACAGGCTGAATTTCTCTAGGATTATTTATTCTGTTGCATGCGTTCAAGATTTTCTTTGCTGTTGAAAAAAAAAAGATGCTAAGCTGAACTGGCATCTTACTTTAGCAAGCAGAAGTCTTTGAGGCAGGAGGTAGTAGGATAAATTCAGACATTGCCTTGAATGTATGCATTCTCTTTAGAAAAGGTGGAACAGTTGATCCGGTAACTTGCAAGCAGGCCTGTTCTATTTATGGTTTTTATTGAAACTTTTAAACAAGAGGAAAACTAATAGAAACTAATATGAAGTAAGGAAGAAAAATGAAAAAGAAATCAGAAAAAGCAAAAAGCACATGAAAAAAAGTTGAAAAGAAAAACAAAAAAGAAAGAAAAGAAATATAAAGAAATGGCTGTTAATATTCTTTGTAGCAGTTATAAGTACAAATATATTTTAACCTATCTGTAAAATTACATCATATTATTCTTTCTGTAGTCTGTCTTGTCTAATCTGAGCCATAAATCACAAGTTCATTCCCCCCCTTTTTAATACAAAAAGTCCGTAAGAGGCTTCCAGTCACCTCTAAATTTAGATGTTTTTTCTCTAATCAAATATGTCAGTGTATCCATTTTCTCTAATCAAATATGTCAGTGTATCCATTTTAGCAAAATCTGTCATCTCTCATTCCTTTCATCTCTGTATATGTAGTAATCTCACATGATAATCACATGTTGAAATAACTTTCCATGGTTTTTTATTATTTGTCTATTAATCCTAAAAAATGTTTCAGTTGAATAATGATCTTTAAAATCCTCTGTATCAAAGTATGTATTTTATCCAAAACTATTGGGGAGCATGGTGTCTCACATGGTTAGGATGCTAAGTTGACTAGCAGGAAAACCCGTGTTCAAGACCCAAGTGCTGCCACGGGGTGAGGTGCTCCCATCCTTTTCTCCAGCTCCTGTTGGGGACATGAAATGAGGCCTCAGCTGAGCATTCTCCTGAGCAACAGTGCTGTCACCAGCTAATCTTTTCAACCCTGAAGCACCTTGGTGCTCCCAATATGAGTGTGATGTGATGCTGCAAAATTATTTAGCTATTTTACATGGCCATGATAAAATGCCCCTTTGTGTAGTTCACATTTTCAACATACATTTGAAATACTTTCATACATTCTAGTTTATTTCTCTGGCATCATGTACCAAAGATAAACCATTTTATAAACATTCTTTTTGAGAGTGTAACACAATGTAAATTTCACCTCTTTTAACCATATATTTTCCCATTGATCCACTGGTATATTACAACCAACGTTCTTAATCCACTTTATCATATACTCTTAACTTGTTCTTCCACTGCTTGAGATAGATAAAAATATATGTTTTATAAGTCCTTTTATCCATATTAAAACTTTCAGATGGCTGCCTGTTCTTGACCTTTTATTTATGATTTGTAAATTGCCATTTGTGCCGGCACGCAAGCTGCAGGCAGACTTACCTCACTGTGCATGTGCGCGCCTCTCAGCTGATTTTTGGCTGGTTTGGGGCTTTTTTTGGCCTCCCAGAGGCTTGAGGAAAGCCTCTGCAGCCCGAAAAATAGGCCTGTTTTGTCACTTCCTGAAATGACAAAACGGGCCTATTTTTCAGGATGCAGAAGCTTTCCTGAAGCCTCTGGGAGGCCGCAAAAGGCCTCAAATCAGCCAAAAATCAGCTGGGAGGTGCAGGGCAGGTAAGAGGGCAGCGGGGGGATTGCGCATGCATGCGCAGGGGGCATGGGGGGACGCATTGCCTTCTGGGTGCTGGCACGCAAGCACATGCACAGTTTTTGGCACAGGAGCCCCAAAAGGTTAGCCACTATTGCACTAGTCAATGCCTACATGAAAAGTAGAGGAACAAGGCAGCTGTTTTTCAGATGAAGCACAGTGTAATGAGGACTAACATGCAGCTTGCAAAGGAACTACTCACACCTATGACTCAATGCCCTACGGTTTCCTGTTAAACTAGAAGCAATCTTTTTACAGAGAGCAATTTATTTCTCATCCAACCATTAAACAATCTGATTGGTTTCTGAGGGCGCAAATTACGCACCTGTAATAACAAATGGCCCTACAGGTTTTGTCAGTCTTGTTTATGAACATATATATGTTTCTCTAATCATAGCCTCTGTTGGTTATGCCTGGGGTGTCTTTTTTTTTTAAAGAATTGCAGACTCTCCGTGTAAAGTTGAGAGCTGGTTGTTTTGCCAAATCAGTAGCAAGCGATGTACTTAACTGTAGGCACAAAATAATGTTGCTGCTGCATGGAGCTCTTACTGTGAATATAGCACACCATTCTATACACACAATGGTGCATATGCTCTCAATATCCAGAAAATGGCTAGTGGGTCATTGAACAGGATTAGGGAAGCCAGGGTTGGTCTTCTTGAACTTCTAAGAGGGCCTCAAACACTAGAAAACATACTGGTTAGTCATCCATATATCGAAACAAGAGGGTGCACAGTCTTTCAGCATAAGGACTGTACCAGGTCTGCACAGCATGTTTTGAATGTTGCATGCTCACAGCAAGTGTGGTCAGCAACCATGTGGTGGGGTTGCTTAAAACTTTCTGTTGGCTTCTTAACCCTTTTCTGGAGAACGTTTGGGTTTATATGCTGGATTGTTTTGCCAGTGATTATTTAGTACGGGTTTTACAGGTTGGGTCATAGTTGTGTGTCGAACAGTATATTTTGTTTTATGATGTTGACTTACTGGACGTCCTTGGTGATTAATGGTAGCATTTAGTTGTTAGATTTATACTCTTTATTCCCTTTTATTCAGTGTCTTAATTGACACATGCAGAGCTTCTTCCTCATCACAATCATCAGGTAAGGTGAGCAAGAATGACTGGCCCCAAGTCACCCAAATAAGCTCCCTTAGCTGATGATGGGTTAGAACTTGGGGTCACCCTATTCCTAGCCCATTCCCTTAACCACTACAGCCATGCTGGCAGTATATACATCTCATCAGTCAATGCAATAATAAACCCTTCAGTGAAGTTACTCCTCTCATTCTGGGAAACTTTAAAAGGCCACAAAAGATGCTGGTTTGTTGTAATTGTACTTTTTTTAAAAAAAGATTTCAAGCTATGTTGCATATGACTCTGCTTGAAATCTTTTCTTTTAAGGTACTGTTAATAATGTCTACCATATGGCTTGAATTTTTTTTAAAAGGTATAGTTAAGAATCTTTCCCCAGCGACGGCATGCTTAATACCTACATTTTGTTTTGATGCATCAGGGAATATGTTTCAATATGTTTCATAGGTGATCTGCCAAGCTTGTTTAGCTGTTGTTTTGCCCAAATTAATTAGGAAGACCCTCCAGTTTTCTCTCTCAACTGAGCACAGGCTGTGGAGGAGTTTGGGAAAACCAAAGGGCATACTTGATCTTTGAAATGGGTGGTGGAGGGGAAGAAAGCTTTCAAAGTGACCACACCTTAGAACAGGGGTGTCAAACTCACGGTGTCATGTTGTCATCACGTGACGTATCGTGACTTTCCCCCCCCTTCGCTAAACTGGGGCTGGGCGTGGCCAGCACGTGACATATTTGGCCCACGGGCCGTGAGTTTGACACCCCTGCCATAGAATCTTCCCAATCTATAACTACTATATTAAGTTAGGTGCTTATAGTTTTAGTCTGGCAAGATTCTGTCTATTAGGTGTAACCAAATAAGAATTGTCTCATTTGTGTTGTCTCTGGGGTTTTTGGGCCTGATAGTTTTTAATCATCTTGATTTCTTTTTAGGTGGCTTCGCTTTTGTATATGAAGCTCAGGATCTTGGAAGTGGGAAGGATTATGCTTTAAAGGTAATTAATTTATTTTGGGGGATTTTAATCCTCTGCTGTTTTGTTTATAGTTGACTTCATTGATGGGGACACTGTAAATAGCAAATTCAGGTAGTCCTCGACTTAACAATCATTCATTTAGTGACCGTTCCAAGTTACAACAGCACTGAAAAAAGTGACTTATGAACATTTTTCACACTTATGACCATTGCAGCCTCCCCATGATCAGACAATTTACATTCAGATGCTTTACAACTGGTTCATATTTATGATGGTTGCAGTGTCCCGAGGTCATGTGTTCATCATTGTGACATTCTGACAAGCAAAGTCAGTGGGGAAACCAGGTTCACTTAACAATCATGTTGCTAATTTAACAACTGCAGTGATTCACTTAACAATTGTGGCAAGAAAAGTTGTAAAATGGGGCAAAACTCACTTAACAAATTTCTCACTTATAAACATAAATTCTGGGCTGAATTGTGGTCATAAGTTGAGGACTATCTGTATAGCAGTTAAGGACAAATCTGTTCCAGAATTGACTACTTATTAATAAACATAAAATAGGTGGCTTTGCTTCCAAATTCTAAGAATATGTTCTTGGTAATCTCTTTGACTATAATTTTAGCCCAATATGATGCCTTTCATATGTTTTGGAATGACAACTTCTGGAATTCCAGTATGTGACATAACATATTGGAAGGGATGTATAGATTGGAGGAGACTATCCACATAATATTTAGCTAACTATCTTCTGCCTCCCCATTTCCTAACACTATCCTGCTGTACCATCTCCATGTAAAAAGGCTTCCTTGATTTGTTTATAAACATCCCCCCTATCCTATTCTTGATGTTCACTTTTCCTGGACTGTCTCAAATTACCTACCTGAAGGGAAAGCAATCTGTATAAGGTGGTCAGGAGAACAAGAATGATCCATAACATTTTAGGGGAAATATTTATTTTTGTTTATTCTGCCTGCCTAAGATGGCATACGGTGGGAATGGCCCTCAATTTATCTCCACAGCAAATTGGGAAGTAAGTAGGGCTGAGAGAGATCGACTCATCCAATTACCCAATAAGCTCCATTGTTCAGTGAGGACTAGAAGTTGGATCTGCCTGTCTTCATCCAGTACTACTTCAGTACCCTGGACAATGTAAAATTATACACTGAGGAATGCCATTGTTAATTTCCATGTCCATATTTGCAAGCTTTGCTTAAAGCACACTCTTATGGTGATAAGAAAATCAATGTTATTGTACATAGTGCGTAAATTGTCACAATGCTGCATAAAGTCCAGAAAAACTGTATTTGATTAGAACATTAATCCTAAGGAGGAAATGAACCCATCCATTGAGCAGTTAACATATATCTGATCTTATGTTTGGTTATCTTAGTCTTCTTTCTTTCTGTAATAACTTGTCCTGAAAGAGTTTTAGACACACAAAGTGCTGATGGTGATACAAGTATCACATAATAGACTTGAGAGACAAATTCTAAGGAGAAGTGGAAAGAAAAAAGATTTAGTGTTTAATTCCCCAAATTTCTATGGCTTTCTCCCAGCCTTACACATTAACTTACTGGTTCAAGCATGTACTTTCTCAGTAACTTGAAGAAGAAATGCAGATAAATGGTGAATATATGAAAGCACTTCTTTCTTTCTATGCCCCTGGGATATTTTTCTCTCAAATACCAGTTTTACACAAAATCATTGTGTTTCTTTCCATGCCCCTGGGATATTTTTCTCTCAAATGCCAGTTTTATACAAAATCATTGTGCTTTTCCATTTAATATAGCATGATTTTGCAAATTTCAAATTGAATAAGAAGGGAAACCTTCAAAGTGAGTTCTGATGGCATTCCCTTTTAATTTAGAAGAACCCAAAACTATTTATAATTGTTGTTAAAATAACAGTTGTGAACTATTTAACTGTTATTAAAATCCCATAGTGATGAATAGTGTAAATAATACTTGATAATATGCTGGCATAGGGTCAGAGGTGCTATTCTAAACATTAAAACAATAAATATTCTGTTCGTATCTTCTAATTTTGGAATCAAATGTCAAACTAAACTCTTATTTGAGTAGGAGAGGAAAGCAAGAATGAATATGTTCTACATAGCAAAACTTAAGCTCTCAATTATTGGTTTGAGCAGGAGAGAAAAGCGAAAACGTATGTGTTATGCATAGCAAAACTAAGCTCTCAATTATTGGCTTGAGCAGGAGAGAAAATAAGAATGAATATATTCTACATAACAAAAAGCAATCTGTGGCAAACCTGGATTCCTAGCTTAAAGTACCCTATTTAATGTTTATGAATTAAATGTTTTAAAAGCACTCAACATATGAGTGTATACACACACACACACACACACACACACACACACACCTGTTAGTCTTTGATTTATGACCAATTGTTCAGGGATCATTCAAAATTACCATGGGACTTATGATCTGTAGTCAAATTTATGGCTGCTGCAGCACCCCTGTGACCACGTGATCCCAATTGAAGTACTTCGTAATCCACCTACCCTTATGAACAGCTTCAACTGCTGCCTACCTGCCTATTTTTCCTCCCCATCCCATCTTGCTGTGTCCTTTGCGCCTACTTCCCACCTGACTGGGTGGCCAGAGGCCTTGGGCCTGCTTCTTACCCTGCTAAGTATCACATTTTTAATTCTCCTCTCTGCCTCATCACACATTGCTCCATTGACCTCTTCTAAAATTTGCGCTTTCTAAAGAGAATTCTGTACTACACAGAAGTCCCCTTGTACTACCCTGGAAGTGGGTGCCATTTTGAAAGCTCCAGCAATTCCCAGATCACCTGCTTCCAGGATGTCCTGAGGCTGTATAAGAAGGCCATGCTGCACATTGGTTGATTTTCTTTTCAGAAGGCGATTCCTAAAGATCACGTTTCTGAAAGAGGACCCGGCTGATGTGACATGCATTCTTTTACATAGGCCGCCTTGTGCCATTCCAAAAATGGCTGTCATGTCATCTCTCCAAAGGGTACAATTTTCCAAATCACACGACTTGCAGGAAGGTTGTGTATCACATTGGGTGGACTCTCTTTTGGAATGGTAATCTTTGGAAAAAGCAAGTGGAGCAAGCAGGATAGAGCCCAAGGAAGGGGCTGGTAACTATGCAAAGAGTGCTTCAAGGAATGGGAGAGACCATGCAAGGCCCTGAGCAGGACAGATGTGAACTTGCACGATGCTGCATTCCCAGGGCCTGTGCTCCCCTTAATGACTGCAACAGGGAAACACAGGATTGTGGCCATTAAGCAATCATATGGACACCTCTCTTAATGACCACAATGACGTATAACTATAATTCCAGGCTCAGTTGTGGTTGTAAATGGACGAATACTTGAAAAAAGTGCTTCACGAGAGCTGAACTTTGCCTCCCTCTGCTGAGTTCTGTTACAAAGGAATTGAGATCTCTTTCTAAGTAATATTAGATACCAGTAAAACAGCAAAATAGTATTTCCTTGGTAGATTATCTTTAGTGATACAAATGTTCTAAATAGAAATATTAACCAAATATTTTTTAAAAATATTTATATTTTTCTTTAAAATCCTATATGAATTTGTATCTAAGAGTGTGTGAGTTTATCTGTGTAATTTATTTGTGTATTTAGTTCTTTTTTCTTTTCCTTTTGTCATTGGCTTAAGTTTTTTAGTATATTTATTTTTATTTATATTATATATTTATTATTTATATTATATTTATTATATAATTTTTTATTATGATTTAGCAAAACTACAAATAACAGGAAGAAGTATGGCATTAATGTTGTTCCTTAAAGCACTGTGTATGAATGTATAATATTGCTACCTGCATACTTGAGCCTGTCCTACTCAATAATCAGTAATAGAATCTAGTGACCATGTTTTAATTTCTGATAGCGAACAGTTTCATGTACTAAGATATTTTTAGCAATAACCCAAGATGATTTTCAGTTGAAAATTGAGATTCCTGTGAATTGGCATAGTGAAGTCAGGATCCAACCAAAACTTGTGGAATAATCTCCATGCCTGATTTCATCTAAAGCTGGATGTCAGATGGCTAAGTGGATGGCACTTAGCACTTGTATACTGCTTCATAGTGCTTTACAGCCCTCTCCAAGTGGTTAACAGAGTCAGCATGTTGCTCCAACAGTCGATGTGCCCATTTACCGACTTTGGAAGAGTGGAAGCTGAGTCAACCTTGAGCTGGTCAGGATCGAACTCCAGGCTGCAGGTAGAATTACAATAATGCACTCTGAACACTGCATCACCTCAGCTTTTGGTGATATCAGTAATATGAGTGTATTGGTCTTTGATTTACATACAAAGTTGTGTGAGCCGATAACTTGTTTTAATATAATTATAAGAGAAGGGTATAATTACTATTGTTTGGAAACAAAACAAACACACACAAAAAGGAAAAGAAATAAAAATGTTCTTTGTAATCTCTTTATTTTCCTGGCAGAGATTATTGTCCAATGAAGAGGAAAAGAACAAAGCTATCATTCAAGAAGTTTGCTTCATGGTATCCTTTTAAAGATAGGTGAAAGCATATTTTGCTTGGACTATTAAATCCTGGTTTAATAAATAAGGATACAAAAGTGGTTCCTTTGCTGCTGCTTCAGAGCAGAACTTCCATTTTATATTTAAACTAGAAATTATCTGAATGTCTCCCAAACAGCTCTGAAGTTGAAACCTGAGTTTATCTGTGGCTTAAATATCAGTTAAGTGTTGTGTTCCGGATGGTTTTGCTGCTCTTATGACAGGAGAAGCAGAGGAGACTTGCATAACAGAGGGCAGAACAGGTGGTCTAAATGGGATCTTTGATTAAATATATGAAACAGCAAATTTGTTTGAAGTGATAGTTGCCTCAGAGAGCATATTAGTTCTACCTGCCTCCTAATCTGTGTAAATTATCCTTGTTTGAAACTCTTAGCTTTCTTTTGCCATATTAATCCAGGATCTTAATATTGTTACATCAGAAATGCTTTCCTCTGTCCTTTTCTCTCTCCTGCTTTAAATTATGCATAGAATGTGATTGTGTTCAGCTGACTGTTAAAAGTTGACCCTACTGTTAACTGAATAAGCTCAATGTAAGCCATGCTTGACCGCATCGGAGGCAGAAAGCGCAGTTGCCAAACTTTGCCAATAGTGGCAGAATGCGGAATTCATTGAGTTTTCAAAATCCTGGGCTGGGTCAGCACATGTTTCTGACCACGGGCTCTTGTTCAGAATTGGAATTATAATCCAATTGAGTAAACTGGTTCCGCTGCATGACTGCAAAGACATTTTCTAAATAAATGAGAAACTTTGAAACCTTAACAGTCCATGTGATTCAGAAAAAACTATCTGGACACCCAAACATTGTCCAGTTCTGTTCTGCTGCCTCCATTGGAAAAGAAGAATCGGATACTGGGCAAGGAGAATTTCTTCTGCTCACAGAACTTTGTAAAGGTAAAGTTGCAATATTTTGGGGAATCACCTTGGCTTGACAGCCTCATACACTGACTCAGCCAGGCTGGCTCTGTTGAGAAAAGACTCAGGCGATGTTTCTTAGAACAAAAACATTTAGTATCAGCAAAGGGTTCCAAGGGCTGCTCTGCACTTTGAGCAAAATACATTATCTGGAATTTGAAACTTAACTCCTCCCTTTTCATTTCTGACCTTTCTGTTTTAAGTAATATTTTAGCATGAAGAAAAACATTATTTTAAGTGTAGCAGTGGAAAGACTGACTCTTCCCCACTTCAGGACTCTGAATTTTAATTAATGTTTTCATTTCAGATTAAAATTTTCTTTTTTTTTTAAACAATTTTATTGATTTTCAAAGACAATACACAAACAAACAAATTCAAATTCATATTCATTTTATATACCATTCCTTATCTTATTACCATTTTCAATTTTCTATATAACTTCTCACCTCTTTTAACTTTCTTAGTTTTATTTTATTTATCTCATCTCAGTTCAAATCATAATACTTATTATTCTTTGTCTGTTCTGTTTCCAGCTATCCATTTATCTTTTCTCTTTAAACAAAACTTCTCCTGTACACTGATTGGAGTATGACGCCTTTAACTCTTTCCCCTAAATTTATAATACTTAATATAACACATAACTTGCATTGGGATTCTGTTTAGTACATTCTAAAATTACACAATGTTTTTTATAGAAATTTTTTTTTATAGGTATATGATGTAATTAAAACAACTATCAATGCCAATACAAATCTGATCATTAATATTAATACTCATTTATATCTTAAACACTTTACACGTTACTTTTCAATTAAATATCATACTTTTATGGGAACACTTATACTTTCCATAGTTATTTCCCCCCCACATCACATATTTTAAATCATTATTTCATTAAAATGTTCCCATTTCTCCTACTTCAATTCTCTCATTTATTTCATTGCCTTCTTTTTCTTCACAAAAATTTCACTAAATTACACTAAATATTTTATCCCATTTTTGATTACATGTTGTTTCCAATTTTCTAACATTATTTTTGAATACAAATATAAGAATACAATCTTATGTACCTCTGCAGAATCCCTTTTTCAATTAAGTTTGCCCATTGTCTCTAAGAGAATTTTGTTTCTTTACATCTTGCTCCCCACCATTGAGGCTTCTCATCCCTTCCTTTCTCCCTTGCTTATTCTTCTCCTTGCCCTTTTTATCCCCTTGTCTCTCCACCTCCCTTTTCTTCTGCTTTCCCCCTTTCTGTTGTTTTCTAACATTGTATCCACTTTTCACCTTATTTTTCTCTTTTTTGGTTGTTTTTTCAAATCTGAAAGTCCCCTTTTTCTTTTCCTCTTTCTCCTTTCCTTCCCCAAATAGAGTCACTTATTCATCAAAGATGGCTTCTTCTTTATCCCAGTCATCCTGTTGCGCAGTCAGTTTTTCATAAGTGTAAACCGCCATTTCTAAAAATTGAAAAAGAGTGCCAAGAGAATCTTTCCCTTCTTGTTCTTCTTTTTTGTGTTTTTTGGTATTCAGTTTTCAATTCATCCACAAGTGATGCCATTGTAGAGAGAAAAAGTTTTTCCAAAACAACCACCCAAGTGCTTTTAATCAGATAGTTCCCAAAAGTTCCAAAATCACCAAACAATCCAAATAAGCTGTTTCTTTTAGTACTTTCTTCTTTCTTCCCTTTCTTCTTTCTGGGGTTACTGTTTAGTCACAAAGTTCCAGTTAAAATGTATCTTTTAAAAGTCTTTTTAATATTTAATAGCTCTTTAAAATTCTACGCTATCTCCTCCTTACTGCTCCAATTTTTTTTCCTCTCCCTTCCCACTTACAGCAAAAAAGTTTTTTTTTTAAATGTTCAGAAATCCTTATCCCTTTAGCATTTAATTACCTCCAATGTGGGTTTTCCGATTTCTCTTGCGGTTCTATTCGCTGTCACGTTAGGAAGGAAAGTGAAAAGAAAAAAACTTTCCCTTTTAAACTTCCATTCGCCGCTTGTAAATCTCTGGAAACGATGTATCTTTGGCAAATTTTAAGTTCCAGGGTACTTTCGCTGTTGCTTTATCCTGGTCGGCAAAAAACACTTTCGCTTCTTCACAGCTCCTCCTGCACTTTCTTTTTCCGGCTGAGCGCTTCTATGTGGCGGCCATTTCAGACCGCCGCTCAGCTGCCTTCAGAAAAGGGGGTTTAGCCGGCTAGGGAAGAGAGGTGCGATATCTCTCGACCCTGCCAGATCCCCGCTGTCTTCACCACCTTCTACGGAAGTGGCTAGCCCTGAAGCCGAGTGGCTCAGGGCACTCGGGCAGCGAGCACAGGCAGAAACCGCACACAGTCGCGGATTCCTGCCTGCCCCGAAGCTCTGCAGACCGGATGTCCCCTAAAATTTTCTGACTAATTATTTGGTTTGATTAAGATTGAAGAATAAGTTTATCTCCTCCTTCCCCTCAGGGGTGCTTTGCGAGTTGACACTTCCCTTTGTCCTAGTGCAGGGGTATCAAACTCACGTCGTCACGGTGGGTGTCATGTGACGTATCGGGACTTTTTCCTCCTTTGCTAAACTGGGCATGGGCGTGGCTAGTGCATGACACACTCATCCCATGGGCCGGGAGTTTGATAGCCCTGTCCTAGTGCCAGACATGAAACAAACACAAAATTAAAATAGCTCTTTTTTAAAAAAAAATTCTGACCTGGGTACAAAGAAAAAAAGAAAAACTTTTAGAAATGATACATTACAAACCTGCCATTTTTCTAGCCAAAAGAACAACAGGCTACTGAACCAAAAAGTGTTCAGTATTTAGTCTTCCCTGTTTCCCCTTTGTTTATTAGATTTTTATCCTTTACTTTATAAGGGAATCGAAGTGGCAAACATACCTAATGCTCTTTCTTCCTCCTGTTTTCCCCACAACAATCTGTGAGGTAGGTTGGGCTAAGAGAGAGAATGACTGGCCGAAAGCCCCCCACCAGGTGTTAAAGCCTAAGGTAGAACTGTTGGTTACTAGGTCAGCACCTTCACTACTACACCAAATCTCACTGCACCAAACCTTTCCAAAGGCTGAGTAATGATTGGAGTCTACTGCAGTACTTGCTTGCAGTCTAATATCATAGAAAACAATGATAGAGTGTATTGAAGAAAAGAAGTATATAGCTAAGGTGTTGTTGAGGATACATTTCAGGAGCCTTATCTCTCCCCTAGCAAAATCCCAGAGTACAGCTGGACTGATTCACACATTTTTCTCCTCCCTTTCTAATGATGCGTGAAGCAGCATACAATGTATTCACTTGGCATTAGCGCTGTGCTCATCACAAGTCTCGGAATGAGCCCAAACACCAGAGCTTCAATTCTAATATTCGAATATACCAAGAAAGTAAAAGGATCTGGGGGTATTTATGGGGCCTCTGTTGGCTATTATCAAAATTAGCATTCCTATTGCCTCTTCCATAATGTGTGTGATTCATGGATTTTATGTTCATAGGGCAGCTGGTGGAATTTTTAAAGAAAGTGGAATCTAAAGGCCCCCTCTCGTGCGATACAGTTTTGAAGATATTTTATCAGACTTGCCGTGCTGTGCAACATATGCACAAGCAGAAGCCCCCTATTATCCACAGAGACTTAAAGGTATGGAATCCATGTTTTCTTTACTCCTTATGAGATTGAAGCCGTGATACTTTGAGTTAGGAATGACTTGAATTTGCCTGTCCTAGTCTGAAAAGTAAAGAGTAAAATGTCTAGGGTAGGTTGTCTGAGAATATGTTAGGGAAGATTAGGCTAGTTTCATTTTTCTTTGCTAAAAGTTTCCCCAAACCTTGCCCTTTTTTTTTTCATCAGCAACTTCAAAAGAGATGAAATTTAAAAAAATTTATAAAGGGGAGAGGACAAAATCGTACACCCCTGTCTCAGAACTAAAAAGTGGGGAAACCCTGAGAATTGGTCTTATGTGTAAAGTTCACTGAGGAAAGAAAGCAGAAGAGAGATGCAGGGACTGACTACAGATAGTAAATGCCACCATTTTTTGTATAGCTTGTGAAGTTCCAAGGGATTTAAATTGCAATATAAATAATTATACTACAAATGACAAGTGGCCCCCTTTGTTCTTCTGATACTTCCTAATGTCCATATTCCCAAGCATTGTGACCTCTTTCTGTAAGTTATCCTAGCATATTAGTAGAACCAGGCTGAAAAGCCAAGCTGGAAAACAATTTCCAGTATCTCTTGTTTGTTAACTTTATGTAGTGTTGGCCAGAACTGAAATCAGACCTGAATTTACTTTTTCCCCTTGATTGGATAGTGACTAGGTAGAAATCAATGCTTAAAGAGTTTTAGAACGAGATAAGTTTTTTTTTAAGGAATTTAACTATTGATAGATGTCAGGTTAAAACATAAAATAATTGTTTAATGATGTTATGTTATTAAAATGACAGGAATGTTGCAGGGAATCATGGAACTATGGTGTTCTATATGTTGCATGGGGAATGAACAGTATATACATGTAGGTGAGAAGGTGTGAGGTCTTGAGTCCCATGGCTGAAGCATTTAAAATTACCTTGTTCTCAGTAAGTTTCCAAACGTTCTTTGGAGCACACTGTTTATGTACAAACAAGAACTGTAAAGACAGAACATTTGAATTTCAAAGCAGGCTATTGAACCTTAAAAAGGGTTAGTTTAGTGAGAACTTGGATAATCTGAGCCTACCTTGGTGATGTGAACATAGATATGCATAAGGTGGGCCCTTTTTAATGTAAATGTGTGTAACTTGTCTCTACAGATTGAAAATACGCTGATAAGTAATCAAGGAACAATTAAATTGTGTGATTTTGGTAGTGCAACAGTTGTGACACATTATCCTGATTATAGCTGGTCTGCACAAAGACGGGCAACTGTTGAAGATGAGGTAAGATGTCCAGCATTATATTTTATTTTCAACATGTTGTGTTCCCTTTTGAAAACAGTAAGGGTAAAGTTTTCCCCTGTCCAGTCGTGTCTACTCTATCTCCATGTCTTAGCTAAGGGAGACGGTGTTGTCTGAAGACATTTCCGTGGTTTTGTGGCAAGCAGTCAGGCTGAAGTGTACAGAATACAGCTACCTTCCTGCTGAAGTGCTACCTATTTATCTACTCGCATATGCATTGTTTTGAATTAGGTGGGCAGGAGCTGGGGTGAAGATGGGTGCTCACCCCGTCATGCAACGCTTGGGTCTTGAACCCAAGCTGTCAGCTTTCTACCTGACAAGATAAACGTCTTCAACCACTGAACCATTGCGCCCCACATTTGAAAACCTTATTATATTGAAAATAATTCTTAGCTAAAAAAATAGTTGCGTATCATTTATATGAGAATCTTACTTTTTTAAAACAACCAAACAAACATCAAGCTATCTTCCATAGGTGTACATAGAGTGTGCTGGTTGGTTTACAACTTGTTTTGTGCTTCCATTTCGTAGTCTTCAATTACAATTACATTACATATAATCTCATATTGTCAATCAAAAATTAAATACCTTGGTATCATTATTAATCATTTGACTATACTTTTATTCATTCATGTTTTACAAGATAACCATAATTTACTTAATTTATTTTATAACAGTTCATATTATCATCCCGAATCTATCCTAAAATCATTTTGTAGTTATAATAAGAAAGAAGTACATCTTTATATATTTATTATTTTCTAAAAATCTACATATTTCATTACTGTACTTTGTTGTCTAACCATTGATAGAATAGATCCCAAATTTTATAAAATTGTTTATCCTCTTGTTCTCCAATTTCAAATGTCAATCTACTCATTTCAGCACATTCCAATATTTTCTTAATGATTTCCTCCTGTGATGGTATTTTCTCATTTTTCCAGTTTTTAGCAAATACAATCCTAGCCGCTATTAATACATTTACAATCAGATATTTCAAGTCTTTACTATATATTTCAGGTAAAATTCCCAATAAAAATATCTCTGGTTTCAAGTCTATATGTTTTTTCATCATTTTTTCCAACCACATGTGGATGTTAGTCCAGTATTTTTTAGCATCCGCACAAGTCCACCACATATGGTAATATTAGCCAGGTGTCTGATGACATTTCCAACATTTTTCGGATTTATTCTTGAACATTCTTGCTATTCTTGTCGAGGGGAAAATGCCACCTGTAAAACATCTTATACAAATTTTCTTTATATGCTGTTGACATTGTCATTTTATAATTTTGAGACCACAATTTTTGCCATTTCTCTAAATCAATCCCATATCCAAAATTCTTCCCCCAAGCAATCATAGTTTCTTTAACTTGTTCTTCTTCTGGTTTAATTTCTAATAGATATCCATACAGTTTTTTAATCACCCTTTCAAAATCTTATCTAAATCAGTCAGTTTATCATAGAAACCTTCTGTTTTAGAATCTTTATCATACCTTGAATGTATTTGCGCATATGAAAACCAATTCATCTTTATACCTTGTTCCTCTAGTTTTTGCATAGATTTAAGTTCACCCTTTTCATTCAGTATTTCACTATATCTAACTGTTTGTTCCTTTTTGTATATTATAGGATACGAGAATGCTTCAATAGTCGATAACCAGACTGGAATTTTCAAATAACATTGTCTTTTAATCTTCACCCAGTTTAACCACAGAGACTCCCGTATATAATGTCTTCTAAAATACCCCTGTGTTTTAGTTCCCTTGTACCATAAAAAAGCATGACACCCCAACAACAAATCATGTCCTTCTAATGTCAACAATCTAGCATTTCTTAGTGTTATCCATTCCTTAACCCACATCAGATTTGTAGTTTGGTAGTACAATTCCCAATTAGGCAAACTAAATCCTCCTCTAATTCTAGCATCTTGTAAAAGTTTTAACTTTATTCTCGCTTTCTTACCTTGCCATATATATTTCAACACTATTTTATTTAAATCTTCAAAGTAGTCTTTTCCAAGCCTAATTGGAATTGTTTGAAACAAATATAAAATTCTGGGTAATATATTCATCTTGATTGTTGAGATTCTCCCTATTAGTGAGAGTTGTAAGTTTTCCCATTTCGCCAAATCTAGCACTATCTGCTGTTTAAGTTTAATATAATTATTCTCTTTTAATGTACTACATCTTGCTGTCAAATATATCCCCAAGTACTTGATCTTATTCGCGACTTGAATTTTCAATAGGTCTGCCAGTTCTTCCTTTTGTCTTAATAGCATATTCTTTGTCAAAATCTTTGTCTTATCTTTATTTATTTTCAAACCAGCCACCTTTCCATATGTCTCTATCTTTTCTATCAATTTTGATGCTGTTTCTAAAGGGTCTTCTAAAATGTAAACTAGATCATCTGCAAATGCTTGCAGCTTAAATTCTTCCTTTTTGATTTTCATTCCTTTTATATTCTTTTCATCTCTAATATTTCTGTTTAACACTTCCAAAGTTAACACAAACAAGAAAGGTGAGAGTGGGCACCCTTGTCTTGTTCGAGAACCTTACTTTTGTTGGTTTTATTCATTGGTCTTTTCAAAGAGTTTCCAGCATTTAGGTGGCTTAGCTTCATTTGCTACTGAGTATTGCATTGTTTGAAATTCTAGTCTCTGAACCGTGCTATTAAACACTGCTTTTTTGTTTCATTTATGCTTACCTAGCAAAACAGATGGATATATTCCACTTGAATAAACTCTGTGCCAAAACTCCATGCTGGGTTTTCAAAATGTATTCCCATCCAAGCTGCATCTATTGTCCTCCCTTTGTACAGTTCTGTTTCTGAGAACAGCTTTTCAAAGAATTTGTCTATTTCTGGCAAGGACTGATAGAAAAAGAACAGGAAATTGAAGTTAGGAACAGGAGGTGCAGAGGGGAAAATCTAAAGAGTTTTGGATAGAGCTGAACGTCATTTTCCTTATCATTAGAGTGTTTGCCACATCCTTGTAAAAAGCTGCTCAAACATATAGGAGTGTGTATAGAAGTTCTACTTCCCTACAATTCCCATCATCTCTTCTTTGATTCTTTAGTTGAGCAATTTGTGAAGAGTCACAAAACCCACTTTAATGTAGAGCTCTCTGTTGCCTACAGGGAGAGTTACATAATCCCTTTTCAGCTGAAGACTGTGTGCGGCTCAAACTTTTGCCCTGGGTCAGGATAAAAGCTAAACCAATTTAATTTACTTGGAGAGATGGAGAGCACCAAGATGTACCTCTGGTTTAACTGTGATCTTTTTTTGTCCAGAGTATCTGCACTACCACAGAATTATAGCTCTTTCTCAAAAGGCTTGATTACTACAGCCTAGGTAACTTTTCTTCAAAGACTACAGGAAAGTTGTTTTGTGAGATGGGTGGCTAGATAAATTAGACAAATAAATAAAATCATTGACCATAACCAACTAAAGAGTTTTACTATATGTTATACGAGTAAGCTCTTTGGTCTTGCAAATGGATCTGCTTGCTGTAAAAGCTAGGATAGCTTACGAAAAGGTTGAACGTTAAACAGCATAAGGCCGAATTTTTAACAAATAAGTGATTTTGTTGAGAAAATATATATGTATATATTTGTGGATTAACTATGAATCTCTTATTTTGTGTATACAGGTCACAAGGAACACTACGCCAATGTATAGAACTCCTGAAATTATAGATTTATATTCAAACTTTCCAATTGATGAAAAGCAAGATATATGGGTATGCACTTTCTTTCTGCAAAGGTAGATTTCGGGGTAGTGATTTGTCCCTATTGATTAGGTTTTCTCATTTATTGAGAGTGGTTCTCCTTCTTTCTCTGATAGATGCCATCAGGTACCTAATACTAATCTGTTACCATGTCTTACCACCATTCAATGTGGATGTTAAAACTGAAATAAAGAGCTGCAAAATCTAAAATTGGTATCTAAAAAAAAAAGAAAGAAAAAGAAAGACAGACAGACAGACAGACAGACAGACAGACAGACAGACAGACAGAAAGAAAGAAAGAAAGAAAGAAAGAAAGCCCAATAGTGTGATGGAAGTAACTTGGGAAGTAAGATGTTTAATTAAAAGTCTCCCTAGGAAGCACCAACATGAAATTGTCAAGAAAAGGAAAATACAAGAGGATATAAGGGTGACAAGATTTTGTCTTAGGGTCAGCTGAAAATATTCTGATAGAAAATAATATAAGTATTCTATGAAAAGATTCCATAAGCAAAACTTTATTCAACCATAATATCACATACCTATACACAAAAAGACTACCTCACATGATAAAGTTTATCTCACAGCTATCACAATATCTTCTTTTTGATAATCCAAAGCCACGAAGAAAGTTATCTGAAAACTCAAAAAGCAGAGGATAAAAAGAGGGGCTCTTATGTGCTTTGGCTCCTTTGACAGTCCATTTCCTATGTAGGCCTTAACAATGCCTATGAAACACAATGGTCCCAATAATTGATTTACTAATTCTTTCAAAAGACTCCAAAGCATCGTAACTTTTTAGAAAGCAATATCCTATTTTTAGGCACCTGTTAGATAATCACGCTTGTTGATGAAGCACTTAAGTCTCTTATCAGACACTGAATTGTCTGTCAAATAGGCTCAATATCTGAAACAACAACTTACTTAAAAGGAAGAATAGTCATTGTTACAATTGATTTGGCTAAGCCTTGAATTATTTAGTCTTGTTCAGTTTCTTTTCATCAACTCTTTGTTATTTTCACGCAGGCCTTGGGTTGTATCCTCTACTTGTTGTGCTTTAGGCAACACCCATTTGAAGATGGATCTAAGCTTCGAATAGTCAATGGAAAATACTCCATTCCACAGAATGACACAAAATATACTGTGTTTCATGATCTTATACGTAAGTTTCAGACAAGGACACCAAATACCTGGAGAGGTGACATGAAAAGGAGGGGAGGTGATGATTTTGTAGAGAACTTTATGGTTTCCTTTTAAACTCATGAATGCATTTGATTTCTGTACCTACAAATGTATGTGAAAGGCTCTCTACCTCAGCTATTTCAACCTGCTACTTGACAAAGTCTTGGACACACAGTCTTATCATTCCTGCTTCTCAGTGTCCATGTTAGAGAGCAGTTATGGGAGCCATTAGAAGTACAACCCATTTGAAGAAGATAGTCTAGGAAGAGCTGGCCTACTCTTAATCAGGAAGAAGACTAGTACATGTAATAAGATTATCTTTTTATTGTTTTAGTATAGCTTAAATGTGTGGGTTCATTCTAGCTACTTCTAAGTGCTAGCATTTCAAAGTTACATCATAGCAATGATCACAAGTCCTATTGGCAATTTTTTAACATATGCTGATCTCTTTTTTGCATTGTCTTTAGGTTCTGCTTTGAGGGTGAACCCAGAAGAGAGGTTGTCCATCACTGAGCTTGTCAATCAACTGCAGGAGATTGCAGCTGCTAGAAATGTGAACCCAAAGTCTCCTATCACAGAGGTAATAAATCCTGTTTGGTGAAACCAGTTCCCTGCTATTGGGAGCACTTAGCCTAACTTTAGTGATCTAAAAAAAAACCTTGATAGATTTGGACCTGGTTAAAAGTCAGATGGTAGAACCCAAGGAACCCCAGCAGGATAGGTATGATTAGGAGAAAACCTGTATCAAATCAAACATTTATTTCTGCCAAGAAAATGTCATGGATGCATCCATGAAGTCATCAGGAATTGAACTTGATGTTTAGCTTCAGTAAAGCTTATGGCAGTGGCAGCAGCAGCCATGTTTAAAAATCTAGGCAGCACCTTTTTTAGCTATCCTCTGTAGTAAGAAGAACAAGGAAATAACATGACAATGTAATTGGATGGGACAGAATCAGTGGCCAGCTTTTGGTATTATTTGTAGGATTGCAAAATGTTGAGTATAGATGATGTCATTTTAGAGGGCTGTTGGGAACTGCAGAAGAGATAAATACTACGATTGGCTTTGGGGAACGGGAATTGTATAATTCCTCCCCAAATCATCCATTTATTCTGCTCTTTTTCTGTTCCTCTGGGCTATGTTTTCAAAGGTGAAGGAGAAAAGACAGTTGATGGTGATGATAGAGCAGACCATATAAGTCACTCCTCCATTTTTAATAATTGGGCTTAGTGTTTTTCCACATTAATTAGATTATTGCTTCTTAAATGCTTCATTTAGAGCTTTATATTAAAATCAAAATTTGTGGCGATCCTTGCATTCTATTTTTACAATCAACCAGACCTATTTAAAGTAACTCAGTATTACATTTTTTAGTGCAGATGCGCTGTGGGTGGGGAAGAGTAGGAGAATATTTGTGTTCACTCCTGCTGTGATGCTTTTCCCCCCCCAGCTTCTTGAACAAAATGGGGGCTACGGGAATTATGCACAGCCTAAGACATCTTCAGCCTTGGTGCCACAGAACTCAAAACCTGCTGGCCAGCTTAACAATATATATAATGCAGGTATGATGCTTAATGGAATTTTCTTTGTGTACTATCCCAATTCTTACTTTTAATGTTTCTGGCATCTTTCTTATGTAGCTTCTCTTACAGTATTTGACCATCTCAATTCTTATTTATTTTAGTATTCCTATTAATCTTTGGAGTTAGTTAATGAGTAGGAGTGAGTTAGTAGGTACTGGAGAAGACTCCTGCGAGTCCCTTGGACTGCAAGGCGATCAAACCGGTCAGTCCTAAAGGAGATCAACTCTGACTGCTCTTTAGAAGGCTAGATCCTGAAGATGAAACTCAAATATTTTGGCCATCTAATGAGAAGGAAGGACTCACTGGAGAAGAGTCTAATGCTGGGAAAAATTGAGGGCAGTAGAAGAAGGGGACGACAGAGAATGAGGTGGCTGGTTGGAGTCACTGAAGCAATAGGTGTGAGCTTACATGGACTCAAGATGGTAGAGGACAGGAAGGCCTGGAGGAACATTGTCCGTGGGTCAGACATAACTTCACAACTAACAATAACAACTAATCTTTTAAGTTTAGACTTTAAAATGTTTCCCCAAACTTAGAAGTCCTGGTAAGAAATAGTAATTAAGCTTTGAACTGAGTGATGAATTCTTACCTTCTCATATTGATAAAGTCATATTTACAGTAAAGGCATTAGATTAGGGGACCCAATTCATTGTTTATGCTCAGCCATGGATGTTGACTGGGTAAGCCAGTCACACTCCCACACACCAAACTTCTCCAAAGAGAAAAAAGGAAGGGGAAGCATTACGAATCTCACCTTGAGCTTCTAAACGAAAGTGGAATATAAATTTAACACACTTTCATGTTTGGAATAAACCATGGAATCATAACAAACCACAGTAGTTTGGAATGTTGGACTAAAAGGTGGGGGGAAGTGATTCTGTTTGAGGTAGAAAATTCAGTCTGATTTTACAGTTATCCTTCTCTGATGAAGATGTAAAAATCACATGTAGGTTTTTGAATATTTGTTGGCAGTATGAATTTGAGAAATGATTCCCGGAACACAAACTATATTAAAAAGGAAAGAAAAACTCTGAATTGCATGTTTCCTGACTTGCAAGCAAAATATGGGAACTTATAGACTGATTTTTATGTATTTGTGCCCTAATGGACCTTCAGAATAATTACATTATAATTAGGAATATATTATTTATACTAAATATATCTGACTGCATTTTACATAGTACCACTACTCTTTGGTATCTTTACACTCCTTCCATGGAGCGGATGATATACATACTTAAACAACAGAACACCTTAGACAGTAGGAAATATATGTATGAATTTGTGAATTATAATCACTTCACTAGATCAGATGTACTTTCTGATATAGAGCTTAGTTAAATAGGACATCAATATTGGCACCGGAGTCTAAAATCCAATAGTGTCTGCAGATGAAATGAGTGAAATTTTATGAAGTTAGTTGAAATGCCATAGTTGTAACAAATGCCAACGGAAGGTCGGTTCTCTAATTCTGGAGGTTTTTTAACAGACCCTGCACAGCTACCTTTAATGGGTGGTTGAGTTAGTTTTTCTGCACATTGCACAGCAGGGGTCTCTAATCTATGGGCTGCGGCACGCTATTGGGTCATGAAGGGTTTGCAACTGGGCTGTGGAAACAGTCGGCGAGCATGCATGCACATTCTCACTTGCATGAGTAGCGGGCGAGCATGTGTGCGCATGCTCCATTTGTGTGAAATGCATGCCATTTGCGGAAATGGAGCTGTGTGCGTGTGCTTGCTGGCCGCTTGCATGAACCATCTTCCCTACCCCACCCCCTGTCCCCAAAGCCGGAAACATTGGGGAACTCTGCTGTGGAGGGTTGCACTAGATGGTATTTCTTGTGTAGTCCTACTATTCTGTGAGCATTTAAAGCATACAGCAGTCCTCTGATCCCTGAAGGTAATAGCAGCTGGCTGCCATCTGAAATTGAATGCTTTGTTTATTGCATCTAATAGTTTTGCAGGACTGTATTTGCTTCAGAATGTGTGGTCTGTCTTAGAAGAGGGACCATTCGCTGCTTTTCTGTTAAATTATTACAGTTGGCCGCTCTTCTTTGTGTAGAAAAATATTGCCTTAATTAAAAGGCACAGATTAAGGTAATAATACATAAATAAAGATGCCAGCTAAAGTGCCCTGCTGAATTTGTTTTTAAATGGAAATACAATTTAATGCAATTTCTAATGGAAATGTAAGTCTGTTTAGAGGAAAGAATAATGATGATTGCCTGCCTCAGGTTATAATGCTGTGGGGGGTTTTTTTGGCTTTTAGGGCTGATAGTTGCAGAATGTGACCAGACTTCTGGTGGATTTTTTGATATCCTTCGAGGTGGGACTGAAAGATTTTTCACAAATATCAAGGATACATCTTCAAAAGTTATTCAGTCTGTAGCCAAGTAAGTAGAAATGTGGCTGTATTGATATTTTTATTCACTGTGTTGCAGTTCACCATTCTCAGAGCAAATGGCATTTTATGTAGTACCATTATTTTTTGGGGGGAGTTTTTACTTTACAAGTTACAAGCCATTTACAGTCTTGTGGACAGGAACACTAGGAATTCTACTAAGATCAAGTGATGAATCTCTGATCTGAACCCTATCCTTTCCCATTCTTGATTGAGAGAATAGAATTGTTCCTTATATTAAATATCAGAAATATTGATATTGGGGAAAAATTTGGGATTGTAATTCGGAAAAATCATATGGACAAAATGACCCTTATTCACTAAAGAAATAAAAATAATACAATAAAGTTCTAAAAGTCAGGTCTCATATGCAACTTAATTTAATTTGTTTAAACTTATTTATTTGTAGTTCAGTACCAAGACAATAAATTTTAAAATACCATACGCCACTAAACTCAAGCCCTATAGATAATTTATTGTCTAAATTACATTCATTGTTCAAATTGTTTGCAAATTTGCTTTTAAATACTTCCTTATTCATTTGACACATGATCTTTGAACATTCCTAAATACGGTAACATTTTGTGATGACGTGTAGCATGGCACAAAGGCAACACAGTCAGATAATCAATGAGTCCCTTTATTAGCTCCAACTTTGCCCCCAATGTCCTGGTTACCTTCTGGCTGGAGAAAACCCCCCAGGAAAAGCCTTTGACTGCAGAGAATCAAGTCCAAAGCGTGGTCAACAAAAACTGTAACTATAAGTCCAATCAAGACAAAATGAGGTAATTAGTTCAGCAGGACAGGAGCAAGAATTCCAGACGTGAAGGCACACGGTTGGGAAGACTCCAGGAACACAGATAAGCAAAGTCAACACACGATAAACTCACTTTTGCTACCAGCAGCTGCCACATTCAGCATGCATTTTTAAAAAACTTACTTCCCAGCTGTGGCTAATGAAGGGAATCAGGGCCCTTTCCTCCCCCGTAAGCCATGCAACTCATGTTGCTCTCTTCTCCGTTCCTCCCTGCGTGCCCTAGGATGAAGAGGAGGTGGACCTAGATCTTCCCCTGAACTCCCTCTCCCTTGTTCTACCTCTCCCCTGCTCTGCCCAGCCAGACTTTGCCCTTCCCCAGTTGCCTTCACAGCCAAAGGAGTCACACTCCTATGTCCCTGTCAGCTGTTTGGCTTCCTCCTTGGATTCAGACTCCAACAGGGGCACGACACATTTTCTCTGAAAAAGAATTAATAAGACATACTGTAATTGGTTTATGGGGCTTGACTTTTCGGACATCCTATGTGTGTGTGTGGTTTGCCCATTAATATAGTGACCATAGTCTCTTGATTTTTTAAATTTTGTTTTATTTATATCCCTCCTGTATTATTTTTACAACTTTAGGCAGTGAACATATTATTATCTTCCCCACAACAGCAATCCTGTTGAGATTGGTTAGACTGAGAGAGAGAGCAGCTGGCTCAAAGTCACCCAGCTGACTTTCATGACGAAGACATGATTTGAATTCATGGTCTCTTGCTTTCTAAGTCTAGTGCCTTAACCACTGGACCAAACTGATTTAGTGAAGGATAAACCTGAAAAAGAGACAAATCTGAAAGAGGTTCATAAGGATTTTTTTAAAAACGGTGTTTGTGCTGTAACTTCGCTTTACAAAGAAAATTTCAAGAGCAAAACCAAGAAAATAAAAATTAAATGAAATAAATCTTGAGGGCAACTTTCTGAAATAAAGGATCACTGTACCTATCAGTCACTATATCATTTCTGTATTGTTCTGTCACTAATTCTGCAGTAGACTTGAAAGAAAGTGGTAACTTCACATTATTGCTAAGAAAGCCCAGGAATGTTAGATCTTGAAGCAGAATTGCTGTAGTGTATATTTCAAATGTGGTCTTTCCTTTGAATAGTTTAAAAAAAAAACACCAGAAAAAAAGCCAAAATCTGTCCCCCCCAAAGACTAATTTTTAGATTAAGAAAAAGAGTGACTTCCCATTCATTAAATATGTGTAAATTTTGGCAGCAACATCTTAGCTCAGTCAGGTGATACAGGTTACTCTCCTTGAATTTCATAATCTGGAAAAAATTAAAACATTTTTTCTTGTATATTACATTACTTTTTTCCAATTACAATTGAATGCTTTTTAAAAAAAATGATTTCTCGTGTGTCAGTTGTTTTTACTGCATGTTTAACTGTCATTTTGGAACCATCCTTAATGCTTAAAACCAGTTAAATAGACTTTAAACTAGTACACCTAATTTACATCTGAAAAACAACTAGAGTCCAGTCAAATCATTCCTGTATGCATTGTAAATTACATCACCTGGTTTGTTCAAAGTGGCAGGAATTATGAGGAATTATAGCTGAGAATTGCTGAAAACAGGCCTGTCAAGCTTTTCAGCTAGAATCATTTCTCAGCCACTAAAGCTATAGAATCATACTGTGAGGCTCAGTATAACATCATTAATGGTCCCAAACACTCATTTATTCAGTGAAGCTATGCTTCCTTTCTAATCTAGTTTTGGATCTAGCTCACATGTTAGATGTTAGATAAGACAGTAGTGAGCATTCAAGGGTTGCTCTGTTCTGTGTCGCCTTAGCAACTCATAGTTTCTAAATCATGTGAGGCTGCGTCAATCATTTCATTCTTTCTTTCAGTTATTGTCATGAGAAGAAAGTGTGGGCATGGGAACAGAGAGTTCAGAGTGACCCATGTGATGTTTGCTTCCCCTAAAATGCCAAGATGGAGAGTAATGAGATGGATTTGCATTTTTTTTTTAGGTCTACAGGATTAAGCTACTTTACTAGCATGAGAAGCAAGCCTGCTTTTTTGCTTTTGTTTTATTGCAATATTTTTTTAATACAATAGCTGGTGTACAAGTGAAATTGAATTAATTGAATCTGTGATTGTGTTAGACTGTTTCCTCCTAAAGCAGAGGACGATGTTTACCAACACTTTTGTACGTGCTCTAGATCAGAATTTTCATGGGGGTGGGAGGGAGAGGAGGTGGTGAGTTAGGCACATTTGAGATTTCGAATACCTGTAATGGTTGCCATGGTAAATCTGGCCAATCACAGAACCCTCGTGTGACAGAACATAAACCCCAGGATTGTAATTACTCCCTGTTTTATTTTCTAAATCTGACCGGAGGAACTGTAAGTTACGTTTACAGTGATTTGCTTTGCTACATGCTAATTTATCATTCTTTTTTTTAATGAAGGGCAAAGAGCTGGACAAAAGGCTGAACAAGTTATAGGTGGCACATTGTCACTCATTGATCTTAGCATGTTGGGGACTAGGTTTTAGACTAAAGTTTCTGTGATCTGTAGATCATTGATGCCCCTACAAATAATTGAAGGAAGGAAGATTATATTCTAATAACATATTCTTGGATACCATCTTTTCCGTTATATTCAGTGTTATTATTATTATAAGGGCTTCACAAATTTCAGTGTTATTACTATTATTATTTGAAAATATAATTGCTTCACAAATAGCCTTGTGCTGTGCTGCATTTTGTGAACTAAAGTATTGTTGCTTGATGTGACTTCAGTATGAATCAACTACTCTGCATATTTGAGGGTCAGCTCAATGGTTATTACTTCATTGCTCAAGAGAAAAGGTTTGTTTATATAGACTCTGAAGGAGGTTTTGATGATGGCGTAATGGTCTGCTTAAAAGAAAAGGACGGGATCTTCTGTTATTTGGATATCAGCAAAGGAATATATAACTTTTTTTCACTTTTATCAGTCTCTTGATATGGTTTTATCTTAAATGTACAACTGTGAACTTGGAATGAAATAATATAACTTATTTGGGAACCCTGAAGGTTACAGTTTTCATCCTAGGATCAGAGAGCTTTATGGACTTTTTTTGAATCTTTGGTAGTCCAGAATGTGACTGGTAGCTTTTGGAGAGTAACTACTGTATTGAAGAGATCAGTGGGAGAAAGAGGCATTGCCTTCCATCTCGGGGTTAATGCATAGGAACAGTTTTCACATAATTCCAAGTCTTCATGCATGTTTACGCAAGAAAGAAAAAACTAGTTAGACTGGAAGAAGAACATACTTCTTCCTCTGCTGTTCAGCAACCTCATCTATTGAAAAGTTTATGAAATTGGTGTATAGGGAGATTCAGGTCTAGAATTCTGGAGGGATTATGACATCAGGATTAGGCTAACCAATCTATAAATCAGTTAACCCACATACTGTTCCATGATGTCATTCTGTTGATGGCATGGAACCAAGACAATGGTTCAGTGTCCCCAAGACCTCAAAGTAGCTCACTTTTTTAGTTTTTCCTTTTTGCAAACCACTTCGTGCTTGAATGCTAGCAGCTGTATATTGTCAGAGGGAATTCTCATTGGGATGGACTGGAACCGTTTCTTTCAAGCGGGGCCTTTCCTGGGCAAGGTGAAGGACCTCAAGAGATATCTTGTCACATTTCATGGGTTGATGTCTCTGATGGTTCTGAGCTCTTACATTTGGGTAGTGACAGTAGGAAAAAACATTCCACTTTCGGGGGGATATCACATTTACTGCCAGTACTGTGTTTTAGTTGGTGCTTCGTGGTTTGAGCTGCAGGACAAGAGTCGATGGTGGCAGAACTCAAAAGTTGTGGATCTTTAAATGTTGATGACCTAATTCACTCCGATACAGTGAAATTAATTCTTATAAAAAAAATATTAGGAAACACAATCAAGGATTTTACTAAAGTGACAAAATAGTCATGTTAGTTTCTTTATTGCTCACACGGGAATACACAGGGATGTTATTTCCACTGTTATAGGGTATCTTTTATGTTCAAGATGCAAAGAGTCATATATTATCGCTATATATCCAGCAGAATTAGTGTTCCGTGCTTTCTTAATGGCTGTTCTATTATACAATATAGCAAAGTACTTGCATATTATATATTAACTAATATTTTGAATCCCTCAAAATGGGCTTCTCTGAAAATATTTTGATTTTTTAAAGTAATGATCAGATGGTTTGGAACATGCTGGCTGGGAAATCTATAAGTAGGACTCTTAAAAAAAGCATAAGGCTGAGGAAATTTCTGGTATATAATGAGAGATAACAAATTATTGGATTGGAGTAGTTGTTTTGTATTTTCTGAACATTTATAACTTGAGCTAAGCATTCTTAGCTGAAAATAAGCAGCATTTTTATTGGTAGAAATTACAAATAAATATATGAATATATATATATCTCAGAATATATAATGGAAACACAGTGTATCAGTCTGGCATGAGCAGTGTTTATGAAAATAAACAACTAAGTTTGGGAAGAGTTGTAAGTATTGGCTCTCATCCACATCGATGGTTCCTGTTATTCATAATGGTATCCATCCAACTTAATGTAGGCTAAAACGTTTGGGACAAGGAAAAACAAAAGCAAAATTTGATTTGGAGAGTTCAATTTTTTTTTTCATCTTTACTTTGTTTTTTGGATGACTTCTGTTTTGTTTTGTTTTACCTTTTGATGTTTTTCCTTGCCCATTTTTTTCCCCCATGGCTTTTCGTCATTCCATATCGTGTTCCTTAGCAGCCCAAGGTAAATATGTCTTCAGTATGTTAGTATTCATACTGTGTGTGCATGCTAGAAACCAATATGAAGCTACAAAAAGTTTTCTAAACTCTCAAGTTTTACCTGTGTCTTCTGATCTCTCTGCTCATTATTTTAGTACATGTATAAAACAATACAACCTTATGAATGAAGACATTGCCAATAGGTTCTCAGTTACATTTATATTTAGTGTCATATTCTTAATACATGTATATCTTTAGAGCTTCTTTTTTTCATCAGTCCACTAAATTGCTATATCTTGTATTTCTGGCTGTGTTTTTTCTCTCCTCCAGTAGGGACATAGATAGTAGGAAGCAGATTAGACTAATATTGTCACTGAAATCTTGGATTTCTTGACTTCTGTGTTATTTTTAGGGCTTGAAAGAATGGGGCTGTATTTTTAGGGATACGTGTATTCATATAAAATAACCTCTGTGAACCATGGTAAGTTGAATTAACCCATTCAAACTAAATTCGTTCTCTGAAAGGCTAAATAGAAATGTTCACGCAGTGTACAATGATCTCCGTGTGGATTATTACATGGTCTGATCTCCCCCAAATGGAAAAAAAAGTTGTTGCAAACACTAAAGAATAGATAAAAATAGCTCCATGTATAAAACTCTGGCCTTGGTATCCAGGCCCAACGAAAAATTTAAGCTACTGCATAAATATCAGAATTCCCATTTAAATTACCATATCTTTGTTACATAGGACGGGGAAGGGCAATTGATACCCCCAAGGACTTGCTGGGTTTTTGCCCTATTTTCCGCACAGTTTTATTCAGCCCAAACTAAGAATCCACTGACTTGGACAAATGTGATCCTTATATAACATTATTATAGGGATTTATAAAATTGATTAAAACTGAGGTGGCGCAGAGGTTAGAATGCAGTACTGCCGGCTCCCAGCAGTTTGGCAGTTTGAGTCCTACTGGCTCAAGGTTGAGTCAGCCTTCCGTCCTTCTGAGGTCAGTAAAATGAGGACCCAGATTGTTGGGGGCAAGATGCTGATTCTGTAAACTGCTTAGAGAAGGCTATAAAGCACTGTGAAGTGGTATATAAGTCTAAGTGCTATTGCCAGTGAGATTATTAGCATCTGAAAAAGTGCTAATTAAGATGCTCTAGGCCTAGGCCAGCCTACCGGCTCCTTCAGTTTCAGTTGCAGTGCCCATAATTCCCAGACATTCCCTCTATCCCTCACCTATGTCATGGGTGTCAAACCCGCAGCATCACATTGCCATCGTGAAGTTTCGTGACATTTTTTCCCCTTTGCAGAGCTGACGTGGGCATGGCCCTCGTGATGCATCCAGCCCGCGGGTTTTACACTCCGACTTATGTAGTACGTGCCATGGTTCAGGAAGAATTTTGTTCAGTTCATAGCTTTGCTGTGAAGTAAACTGGCAAGGAGATCATGCCTTAGTTGATAGCCCTTATTAAGAGAAGATGGAAATCCTGAGCATAAATGTAAAAGGCAGACTTGAAAGTCGCTGGTTAAAGAATTTGTCGTGTGTGTGTGTGTGTGTGTGTGTGTGTGTGTGTGTTTTGTTTAACTTCTCTACCTTACTAAATCTGTTTTTCAAACCTAAAAACCTGCTATCCTCTTAAGGAGTCTTAAACCATCTGTGCTGACTTGACTTAACCCTTTTCTGCATAATATTAGTTATCTTCCTGCTCACTGTTAGAGACTGGTTTACCACTATGTCCCACTACATAATGCATCGTTATTTGGTAGACTCTTACTTCTTTAAAGCTAACCTGTGAATTGTATATAGCCTAATATGTTCACTACAGGTAGTCTTCAATTTATGACTGTCACTGAGCCCAAAATTTCCATTGCTAATCGAGACGGGTGAGCTTTGCCCCCTTTTACAATCTTCCTTGCCCTAGTTGTTAAGTGACTCAATGCAGTTGTTAAGTTAGTAACACGGTTAAGTGAATCTGGCTTCCCCATTGACTTTGCATGTCAGAAGGTCGCAAAAATGGGATTGCATGACACACTTCAACTGTCACAAATATGAGCCAGTTGACAAGCGTCCTAATTTTGATCATGTGGCCATAGGGATGCTGCAATGGTCGTAAGTGTGAAAAAGAGTCATAAGTCATTTTTTTTCAGTGCCATTGTAACTCCAGACAGTCACTAAATGAAAAGTTGTAAGTTGAGAATTACCTGTACTATTCGACTTCTTCCTCCTGTTCCTTGTTTTTCCCTCAGTAGTTATTTAGTGTCATTTGTGTACAGCACAAAAGAAGGCTGGGCTAATGGAGGATTAAAAGCTCTGTACCCGTTGTGACTTGAAGGACTTTTTGCTATTGATGTAATAACAAACTAGACTATTAATTTTGCAAAGCTTTGATACAATCTAGGAAGAGGAAACCTGTGACCCTCTGGATCAGGGGGTCTTCAAACTTGGCAAGTTTAAGGCGTGTGGACTTTGACTCCCAGAATTTCTCCTCCAGTCATGTTAGCTCAGGAATTCTGGGAGTCGAAGTCCACAAGTCTTAAACATGCCACGTTTGAAGACCCTAGCTTGGGATGTTACCAAACTATAATTCCTAGCATACCGCTGAGCATGCTGTGGGAATACATAGATGCAGTTGTAATTACCGATTGTTGAACAGGTGCAGATTTCTCCTGAAGAGAATATCCCACCCCCCCGCCTGAAAACAATTAATTTTGTAAAGCCTATTATCTAAGACAGTGATCGGGATCCTTCAGCTTTGAGATAATTGTTTTTTCTTGAAAGAAGAGAATCCTTTAATAATGCTTCAGGCATTTAAGCTGCCATTTACAGTGTGTATTAACCGGGGATATTCTAGATTCTTTAGTTTATCTCCCATATTTCAGATATTTGAGAATCACATTTGTGACTGTCTCTTGGGGATAGGGAGAACAGGTCTTGTTTGATGAACAAAAAGCCAGTAGAATTTAATAAGCCACTTGAAAATAATCATCTATTGAACCGACTTACATTCTAACTTTTAACTTGAGTTTTTGTTTAATATATGTTTCAGTTACGCAAAAGGAGATTTGGATATATCATACATTACATCCAGAATTGCTGGTATGTTTACAAACATTTTATTAAACATGGTTTTTTATTAAAAGCAGATTAAATATATTGAGTTCAACCCTGACTGTTTCTCTCTCTCTCCCTCTCTCTCTCTCCCTCTCCCTCCCTCCCTCTCTCCCTCTCCCTTCCTTTGTTCTCTAGTGATGTCATTTCCAGCAGAAGGTGTTGAGTCTGCTATAAAAAATAACATTGAAGATGTGCGGCTCTTTTTGGATTCAAAACATCCCGGGCGCTATGCTGTCTACAATCTGTCCCCAAGATCATATCGGCCTTCCAGATTTCACAATAGGGTTTGTAAATTAGTATTGCTTTATTTCATTGTGTTTTGTGCATGGCAATATTGCACATCTCATTGTACACCTTCCTCACCTTGGTAAGAAAATAGTAAGAGAGTTTATATGGTGTCCAAAGATTTTTCGAGCTTACTTCCAATCATCATCAAAGCCCAAATTTTTTTTTAGCCTGAAGGCTTCGTTCAATCACAAGGGACTCCAAAAGGAAGAAGGGATTACAGTCAAATGGGGCTAGATCAAAAGAAGAAAAGAATATTTCATAAAGTAAACACATAAAGAGACAAGAAGAAGGACAGTGGATATGGTAGTTACCACTAGATGTTTCCGGAATATCTGTTGAGCAGGATATGACATCATTTACAGACGAAACAACACACAGACTCACACATATTTTTGCCTGTACTAGTAGCGTTTCTTTAAAAAAAAAAAACCTTTTGTAAGAATTTGTGTATGTTTGTATTCTACCAGTTTTAATCATTTGAAATTAAGAGAAAGACCATTCAAAACATCAGCAAATCTGTTTCAAAATATGAATGGATTTTGTTTTATATAACTTATGCATAGGTTCTAAGTGCATATCATTTTATATATGCTTCTTAATTCTGAACTGCAATTGCTTCCAAACTATTTCGGTTCCATTCTATCCTGCTGAATTGTAGTGATAAATGAAGCGATTATGGGGTGTCCTGGAGCTTTGACATGGCGAGGTGGAAACACATGCAGGCTATGAGCTGCCCTCACTATTGGATAAGCTCTTCGTAATATTGAAACTTGCTGCTAGAAAATGCGATGCCCTTGTAGGGTTTTTATCAGGTTCCCAGAAAGTACTCTCTGAATTAGGGATTTGCAGAATATTCCCTTTCAGAGACAAAACATTCCAAGGAACACTCAAAGATAGTTTGTTGTTCCTTCAGACCAGGAGTCTGCAACCTGCAGCTCTGGAGCCACATGTGGCTCTTTGGGCCCCCTGCTTTGGCTTCCTGTCAGCTGATCCCACCACTGGCTGGCCCCTCCCCTCCCCATCTCACTTGGTCTGAGAAGGTAAGGGTGATGGCGGGGGATCGAGACTCGCTCCATATTCCAGAGCAGAGGGGACTGGGTGGGAGTGAGTGAAGTTGAATTGGCCACGCCCACCCAGTCACACCAGTTGTTAACCTATTGGCTCCCAGGGTTTTCTTTTCTGTGGGAAATGGGTACAAATGCTCTTTGAGTGTTTAAGGTTGCAGACCCCTGCTCCAGACTGTAGAGTTGTAATTGCAGGAATGTTCCAATCTCGGATGGCAAACCTCAGATAAAGAATGTTTCCAAGCAAATACAACTCAGGCAAACAAAGTCACTAATCTAAAGGAGGATTAGAGAGAGGAAGTAAACATATGTTAGACTTTAACTGGAGATAATTAATTGTGTTAATTACTATGCTAAACAGTAACGAAAGTTAAGCAGAAACTAAAGTTAACCAATGATTGAGGATAACTAAAAATGTGTATAAATGCAAGACTAGACTCCAATAAAGTTCATCATGATTCAGTTGATCATGATCAAACAACTCGACTGCCTCGTCATTACAACACCAGACCATGCTGATCTGGCTCTTTTGGAAATGACCTGGCAGTTTTTTTAGAAGTAAAGATTTCAGATATGAATTTGCAGAACCCAAACCCAGGAATCCATAAGAGGAAATGTATTGCCATCATATCCTGTTGACAAATTTTAATTGGCTACTAGCCCTGTGATGGACCAGATGAACTTGTATTTTGCCCTGGTAGTACTGCTTCTGTCTTCTTGCCAGGAAGCTTCGGCAATGGATTTAGTGCAGGATTGTAAACAACTAACTTAAAATCTGAAAGATTTCAAAAAGCAAGTAAAGCAAGTAAATTATATTTTTTTTTAAAAAATAGACAATTTTGGGAGTAGATAAAGTTAGCTTACTGTATTTTTAAACCTATATCCTAAAGAACCTAGAACAACTCCCTTTCTGTGATTTTGCAGACACAATATTCTTGCAATATCGCCCTTCTTTATTTTTTCCCCCCTTCAATCCTTTCATTCAGAGGATTCCAAAACGACAAGGAGTGGACCCAGTGTGCAATTTGTTATGGGGAAAAACAAGGACCAGTTGCGCACCGGTTTAGCATTGTTAAATGAGATCATGCCCCAGTTGTTTCCAGGAAAAAGAAAGGGCTTGATCGCTCTTGTGGGAAAAGCTTAAATTGAAGACTTGACCATTTAAAAAAATGTGATAATAAGTTGGCAATATATTAGATGTAATAAATCAAAGTGTTTCCTTAACAGGTATCGGAATGTGGTTGGCCGGCAAGGCGTACACCAAATCTTCAAAACCTTTATAGCATTTGTAAGAACATGCATTCATGGTTGAAGCAAGACCCGAAGAATGTTTGCATTGTCCACTGCCTTGTAAGTAATGTTGAGCTTTGTTTAGGCACACAGGTCTGAAAAAATTTACAACTAGTCCTCGACTTACAACAGTTCATTTAGTGACTGTTCAAAGTTTCAATGGCTCCCCAAAAAGGTGACTTATCACCGTTTTTCACACTTACGACCATTGCAGCACCCCCATGGTCATGTGATCAAAATTCAGATGCTCATATTTATGACCGTTGCAGTGTCCTGGGATCATGGGATCCCCTTTTGTGACCTTCTGACAAGCAAAGTCAGTGGGGAGGCCAGGTTCACTTAACAACCGTTTTACTAACTGAACAACTGCAGCCATTCACTTAAGAACTGTGGCAGGGGCAAAATTCACTTAACAAATGTCTTATTTGACAACAGAAATGTTGGGCTCAATTGTAGTCGTAAACTGAGGACTAACTGTACTCTTTTACAATTCCCCATGGATAGCTTGGGGGTGGAATGTCCTAAAACCATAAAGCAATAAACATTGGGAATATCCATTCACCATGATATAGATCTAAGATGTTTAATTCAGTGCTAAACATTTAAAATACCATGACATAGATCTAAGATTTTAATTCAATGCTAAACATTTAAAATACAGGGATGATGATGGTGATGATTGTTGTTTTGTTATTATTGTTATTGTTGTTGTTGTTATTATTATTATTATTATTATTATTATTATTGTTATTATTATTGTTATTATTATTGCTGAAGTTCAGGCATTGGTGAGGAAGAAGATTACGTGGCTATACCTAGCAAGGCTATTTTAATGTACTCTTGTTTTAATGTAGATGTAATTTTAATTCTTGTAAACTGTTCAGAGTTACCTTATGGTAAGATGGGTGGCCAAAAAACTCGATAGATGGACAGACGGACAATAGGGCAGGGGGCGGGTGTTGTGGCTGAAATCAAAAGTATCCTCTATGCGGTATCCTGGTGTGGCAATTCTTTTCCCACCCAGCTTCTGGATCATTCTTGCCAAACTGCAGAACTGCAGAGGAATTTTGAAATCATGATACCTTATGGGAGGTACGTGAGCAGAAATAGACAAACAAAAATGATTAGCAGATTG